AACTGGAAAAATGTCATACTTTGAGGAGGGGGGGGGGAAACGGATTCTTTTCAAAGCCAATCATATTTTTGGAAAAAAAATGTCAAGGTATAAATTGTATGTTACCCGAAACAAACTCACTTTTAAGGAATATTTTTTAAATATTCTTTTGTTTTAGAAGTATTTTTTTAAGATTTCCTTCTCCATGAACAACGTTGTGTTTTTGAGAAATAAAACCATATTTAAAAAAAAATCAATTGCTTTTTTTCCAGCTTTTTTCCTTCGCATAGTTTTTTAAAAACTTTTTAATTGTTGCACCTTTTGTTTTGCAAAAGACAGTTTTCATCCTGCATTCTACAAACGTATTAAACTCCAATTTCAAGTTCACAATTATTACTTTTTTTTAACCGTCATAAAAAATAAAAAACTAAACAGATCTTGTAAAAAGAAAACCTTTTTCAAAATCATTTTTCTTCTGACATTTTGACTTTAGTCTCAGAAAAATATCGCTTCTTGTGAAATCACAACTGAAGGGCCTCCCTCCCAATCATGCACATTGCAACTTATTTTGTCACTTGCGATGTCACAACCTTTTGCTTTTATTTTGTAAAACAAGTTTCTAAGCTGCCTTGATGCCCTTTTATTTCCTGGAGTCAACATTTCTTCCAAAATGGCAACTTTCAGTTCCACAAATTCACTTCTGTAAAATCCCCCCGCCCCCCTCTCGAATCGGACCTGCTCAAACCGTTCCGAACGTTGTCGCTGAATTTGCCCAGGAGGCCTGTCGTCTACCGAGAGGCCTGAATGTTTTGATTGACAATCTCGTTCTGATTGAAATAGACGGCCAAATCAGCAGGAGTCCGAAAAGTCTGGGCCCGTGCGCCCCTTTGCCCTCGACCCTCGCCCTCCCCTTCGCACGCACGCACGGCCGCAGTTATCAGACGCTCCCCGCTGCCGTTGTTTTCAGAGGTCAGAGTTGTTTGTTTGCCCGCAGGCTCGCGCTGTGATAGTCCGACTACGCCTGAGCGCCCCACGCATATGTCGTCGCCCCCCCCCCCCACCTAAGCAACGCACCATCACCTCATCTTAATCTGAGCGTTATCAGCCCACTCCTCCATCCTCCGCAAACTCTGAGCTTGTCTTTTGAAAAAGGAACACTTCCCCCAGGAAATGACAAAAGACTTGGAGGCAGATAGACCGTGTCTCTATCTGTCATGGCGGAAGACGGGGGGTCAGGTTATCACGGTTCATGTCACTCAGGTGGGCTTCATAGACCTCAGGTTCAAATGCATCCACTGAGCCAGATTCTCAAAAGTGTGTGATACACAAGCTCCCTCTCGTGGTGCGGGAAAGGATCGCGGCCTAAGTGCAGTTCAGTTGTATTTCACTTTGAGGTTGCGCAATGCGGCATTTGGCGCCCCGCCCGATGGAAGAGTTTTGGTGTCAGGTGATTTCTGCCCAGTGACGAGTAGCCAATCAGAGATGAGGGACACTTGAGCTAAATTGAAAAATGTTTTCATTCCATGATGAATCATTTTCAGGAGAGAAGTCATTCTCAACTTGCTCCCGTCAAAGTACAACTTTACTCTCCCCAAGATTCAAAAATAATCGTAATTTCACATTTGCTTTTTGTTCCCAACTTAAAAAGAAGTGCTTTTCCAAAATGCAACTTTACTCTCACAATTATCATTATTATTCTCACACTATTACATCTTTAGTATTGTAAAATCAGCAATTTATTCATGGATCAAGAACTTTTTTTTCTTGCAACATTATGATTTTATTTTTGAGATTTGTTTATTGTTGAAATTGTTGAGATTTTTTTCCATAAGTCTCCTCCAAAAATGTGTTGAATCACGTTGGTTATTCTGGTAATTATGACAGTCCTACTTTTAGAAGTAGTGCAAAATTACTGGATGGGCAAAACGTAACATGAAACTTTAAAACAAATGGATATTCAATTTAGAATAAATGATAAATCATTAAAAAAGTCCAACGTACTTAATCATTTCACATTTACGAGAGGGCGAACTGAATCAAATATAATATTCTTTTGTTTGACCCCGCCGAGCTGAATGAAGACTTAACCATGTGTCGCCCCCTGGCGGTTGTCACACGACCGCTCGAGAAAGTTCCCAATTACGTTTACAGACGAGCCCGCATCCGGAACGGGAAAAAAAAGGTTGTGATCACAATTCGAATTCGATTAATAGCGTAGCCTTAGTTGCACCTGTAGTTTTGTAACTTTTCCAAACTGGATTAAAGCCAAGGTAGGGGGGGGGGGGCACTGACTGCCTGATTAAGCAACACGGAGGAAATGAGACAAGCTATTTTGTCCGAGAATGGGAGCGGATGAAGTGAGTGCTGGAGGTGGGACAAGTTGCCTGCGCGCCTTTTGTGTGTGTGTGCGTGGAAGTCACAGATATTAAATCAGCTCTTGTGGGCCTTTTAAGGAGGCACAACAGAAGCCCTGTGCCCCCGCCAACACAACAAAGCGGGCAGCCAGCCAGCGATGAACATTCCTGCCGCCTTTACGAGCTGCCCTGGCCACGCCCCTTCACTCGCACCCCATTAACGTCGGCCGCATTCGTCCTGGCGAACCCAAACGCTCTAATCCCATCCAATTCCGTTTTTGTTTTGGCTCTTTGCGGCCTCGTATGATTCATTAAAAACGATGTCGATCTTGTTAAAGTTTGGCAAAATACTGCCACTTGCGGACTTTTAGGAATTGTATCCAGTAGAAGGTGGCAAAGGAAAACAAAAATAGCAAGCCAGTCTTTTGACTTTTGGTTTATTCATAGCGCAGGCTAAGCTTTGTTTTTTTCGGTTTTACTAAAAATGTAATTGACTGCTTCGTTTTTATTGCTTTGGGAATTTTTATAATTGGCTAATCCATACTTTGATTCACAAATGTTTACAAATTTGCCTTCTGTGTGATTGTATCGTTCAGTCCCCCCACCCCCTAAAAAATACATGTCAATAGTTTAATGGTTTCGCTCTTAACTTCTTATCTCACCACTCAAACTTTTGGTGTCATCATAGTTACTTTAAAAAAAACAATTAGTTCGTCATTCGATCAAATGATTTACTTTGTTTTATTTTCAAAAAAATGTTTGAATCAAAAAACAAAAATCACCAACTTTACGTTTTATATATTTATATTGTATAGTTATAAGATAAATATTGAGAGGCAACATAAACATCAAAACCATGAGCGTAGTAACGGAATGAAAAATGACAAAATCAATCATGTCATCGCCCGAGATGAATGGATGAAAATCAATGTTTCAAAATGACCTAAGAGCGTGGGATGTCATTCATTCAATTATTCCAGAAACAATTTGCAAGACTCAAGTGGCGCAGATGCATTTTTGTCCTGCAGTCCCTTTACAATCCTCAAGGGGGTGCGAGTGAGCAGATTAGCTGTTACCTCTCGAAATCAGAATTCCAAACCAAATGATTGAATGATCGTGGCTCTTCATACGCATTGGCAGTGTTTGGGAGTTCATTAGTGAGTTCGCCTCGAGAAAAGCAAAATATCCCATGACACATGGCGCCCATCCCGAAAAATCAATCTTCCCCATCGAAAATGAATTGATAAGCCATTAGCCTGTTCCACAGAAAGAAAAATGGCGCTGGAATGTGTAAAAATATGCCAGTGTATTTGAATTTCATACTCAAATTAGTTGCTTGCGACTGAAAGCCAAAAAAAAAAAACAAAAAACAACCACAACAACCAAGCGGTGAAATTCAAGGCTGTTGTAAATCGGAGCTCTCTTATGTCAAGGCATCACTGCAGAGGAAAGAGGGAGTTGGGACCGAGCGCCGGATTGCCAGCGTGCGTTTTACAAACGTGTGCCCCCCCCCACCCCCCCGACCCCCCTCAAAGTGTAAAAATGAGCGTAATGCTGTTAGGCCAAGGTCTTGGTGTGTTTGTTCACCAGCACGATTTCGATGGCCCGCGCCTTCATCTCGCGCGCCATTTGGCACCAAACGCACGCCGCGCAGAAGGTGGCACACACGCAGTCGTTGAACATCGAGCCCTGCGGACAACAGTTGCAACGTCACTCAAGGAGGCGCTCGAAAAACGCAGACAGGTTGTTTTCCATAAATACAAAAGGTCACATTTTTCAGTAAAATCATGTCTTTTTTTTCGCGCTGAGTCCCACTTGCCCCCCATTTGGCGTACGCGCTCCCTGGCCCATGCGAGACGATGACGCCTGGATGTCCATTTTTACATCTTTCTGTGACTCTTCCAGTCTCTCGCTATCTCTGTTACACCCCCCTACATGCTAAGCTCAGTGGCCACTTCCGTCTGACAAGGTCCTGTTTGGCAAGGCACCGTTGATCCATCGCGAGGGGTCGTCTTGGTCTCGCGATGTCCAAATGCGAACAGCGTGATGAGGACGACCGTCTAAACACCAGCCCCAATTGAACCAAGAGATTCATCGGTTGATTCGAGGAGCAATCGTGTGTTGTGAATTTTGCCGCTCAGCTGCTCGTTAGAGAACAGCAGCGAGTACCGAAACATTTAGCAGTTGGACATTCAGAAGTTTAGAGAAGATCACATCGGGTTCACCTGTAAATGCGTTTTAGGCTGGTCCTGAAATCTCGCCAAATGTCCCGAACGTTTTGTAAGTCGTAAAAAATTTTCCCCGGAAGGTCACGTTGTCTATTTGTGCTTTTGTTTGCAGGGGCTGGCGCAAGGCTGGCTTACCCGGATGCCGTAGAGCTGGCGCATGGACACCCTGGTGGACATGGTGACGGGAGGGACAAAGGGGCTGAGCAGGACGTCCACCAAGGGGAGGCAGAGGCACTCGCCGTATTTCTTGGCCGTCATGCAGGCGAAGCAAGGCAAGCACCAGAACGCGCAGCAGCCTTTTTAAGCCACCAACACACACACACAAAACACAGCGGGTTGCCCTCGCAAACTCCCAACGCTCGTCAATGTGATCGCGACGTCACCGCGCAATGTCAAAACTCCCATCCGGGAAAAGCAAAAGTCTTGTCTCTTACACATGGGCACGTCGTCGCAGCAGTCGCAGATGCCGCTGCCCCACTCGTTGGAGTCTTGGTGGACCATGACGGGCTGAGGCTGCTTGAGGACCATCTTGGACGTCATGTCGGCTCCCTGACGGAGGAGGACAAAGTCTCACTCGTTTGCAGCCCTGTCGGTGGAGAATTACACCCACTTGGGTGTGTGCTGCTAGAAAAGGAAAGTGGGGACAGTTTTTTTTTTTGTTTTGTTTTATCAGATATCGTATTTCCTCTCAGAAGGAGATAATAAGCTCGATAGACACATGCGGGTGATTGGTTAGATAGAAAAGAGAAAAAAAACGGTAGAAACATTTGACGATCAAATGGTCATATTTGAACATGAAGGTGGACATTTGCAAGGACAAGTGATCTTTTTTCCCCAAAAAAGTCTCAATCAGTATCATGAGAAAAATCTTCTTTCAGGACAAATAGTTGTTTGCGGGTTTTTTTTTTCCAAATTTGTTATTTGAATCTTTCGTGACATGGCCAACTTTTAAACCCGCCAAAGGAAAATCCATTCATCCCAAAACATGTTCAAGAACACGGTCAGATTTTTTTTCCCTGAAAATGTTCTTCTTTTTCTTAAAAAAGAGCTATAAATTTAAAAAACAAATCACAATTCATGAAAACGAATTGGAATTTTACAAAGAAAAACTCATTTGCCAAATTGCCTGTTTGAAAACTAATCGCGAGCCCGACTCACCCGATTTGTTGAAAGCCAGTCAGGTGTGCTTCTCCACTAAAAGATAAAAGATGAAATACGAAATAGCTACATCGTGAAACATTGAAAGTACAAGAACAATAAAATACGCGTGAGCGTGTCTTACCTGAGTGCGTGTGTGGCACCTTGAAGAAAGGAAAGCGAACGTCTCGCAAGAACGTGAGTGGCTCCAGGAATAAAAAGCTGAGAAGAGCGACCGGACCGACCTGCTGGGCCGGTCGCGGACCAGCTGACGGCAACGCTCCTCCAACACAAGGACATCATCGCCAACAGGATTTGAGTGCCAAAAGCTGATTGGTAGATTTGGTACAAAAAATATCCATTCGGATTCGTACAGTACTTTGTGGGGGTTTCCAAAAAGTTTTAAGAAATATTTTCGGGATTTTGCACAAAAATGACAAAAGTGGACTTTGCCCGAACACGTGCTTGTGGATATTGTGCAATATTTTGTTGGTTTCAGAATCATTTCGTAGCTTTTGTAACCCCACCCCACCAAATGACCTTTTTTGCCCCCCCC